TAGAGAGGTCCCAGCGCAGCCCGCTGGTGCTGCAGACGCAAGGCCCACCCACGGGCAGCAAGCCGCAGGTCGGTCCCTCGAGGGCGGCGTCGGGCCGGATGACGGAGCGGCCTGCGGGCAGCACGCACGCCGACGCCGCCTCGGAGAGCAGCAGCACGCGCTTGAAGCGCGACGCGCTGTCGCCGTGCAGCACGTTGATGGCGGCAAACTCGTGGTCGAGCCGGTCGCCAAAGGCGCCGACCGCGCAGACGATGAGCTCCGCCGCGGGCACCGCGCCCACGGCGGCGTCACTGCACCACGCGTGCACCCTCCCCAGGCACTTTTCAAAGTCGGTCGAGTCTTGGTCCGACAGCTCTGAGATCTCGACGCCGTCGCGCGCATAGCTCTCGCGGACCGTCGGGTCGATCGAGTCGAAGTCGCCGACGATGGCATCCGGAGGCCGCAGCGAGAAGAGATCGTGCGATCCGGACGTGCGCGCGCTCGCAAAGCTGTGCAGTATGTTTGCGCCGCCATCGCCGCAGACGCAGAAGCGTGCACCGCTCCGCAGCCGGCCGAGCGCGGCGTCGCTGCTGTAGTGACCGTTGAGCACGACCAGCGCATACGGCGCGGTCGTGGTCGCCGGACGCGGCAGCCACGACGAGTCGATCAGCATTCGCGCAGGCTTCCCGGCCGTGGGGCTCGCCGGCAACGTCGGCCCTGCACCCGGGGGTTTTACCAAGCTGCCAACTCTCTCGAGGTCTCGAGGTGGATATCCTTTGGCCGCGTTGGGTAGCGAGGATTGGTGTAACCCGAGCCACGGAGGCGTGTTTTCTGACGGCCGACCGTCAGTGCACGGAGTTGCCCCTTCTCCGACTGCCCCGGCTAGTTCACGAGTTTCGCGGGAGTGACCCCATGCGTCAAACCCGAGACCTAGCGCGGGTGGGTTGGAGGGGCCTCGGAAAGGCGCGCAAGCACGCCCTACGTCTTCCCCTCCTCACCATCGGGCCGCATGCCAACCCTATTCACCCACTCCGGGCCCTGGGTTGGTTGGGTGGTCCCCCATTCTGCGCACTCCAGGCCTCCAGATGTTGGTTGGTTGGTCCCGCACTTCGCGCACTCGCGTAACGGTCGGCCACGCCGTAACGGTCGTAACGGCTCCTTCCCCTGGCACCCCAGCGCGTCTAACAGGCCACTGTGACCCTCGTGACGCAATTTCAGGATGGACAGTGGTGAGAAGATGGATCTGGGAGCCTGAAGAGGCGTGAAATAGCCCATTTTGACCCATTTTGATGTCCTACGTGTTGAATACGCGGAGCGAAGAAATTTTTGACCCGTGGGCGACCCTGGCAGGATCCTGGCCGGCCCAGGAGGCTGGTTGGCTGGTCCCGCACTTCGCGCACTCGGGCCCGGAAACAGTTGGTTGGTTGGTGTGGTCTTTTGCGCACAGTGCGTGAATAGGGTTGGCAGCTTGGTAAAACCCTCGGGTGCTGGGGCTCTTCGCGATCGCTCGTGTAAATACCAAAAGGAGGGCTCTATCGAGGTTCTCGAGGTGGATATCCTTTGGCCGCGTTGGGTAGCGAGGATTGGTGTGACGCGATCCACGCAGGCGTGGTTTCTGGGCGCGAGGCGATTCGGTTCGTCGCAGTCAGCCAGGAGGGGGCTGGCGCCTTCCTGAATGCGATCCCCATGCGGGATGATATGAAGATGGAGACGTGGGCGATGCGCATTACAGTTCAGCGCCGCCTCGGCCTCCCGCTCGATGTTGCCTGCCAGGCGGTGGAGGCGGGCAAGAAGGCGCCAAACGGCAAGCCGCACGAAGAACTCGGCGATGCCGCAATGGTCAACCCGCGTGCGAAGCACGCAACACGACACAAATACCTGCTCAAACGACTCGTCAAGACCCTTCGCTCGGCGTGGGGCATGCTCATCGAGATGGAGCCGACTGCACACCTCAGTTACAGTAACCCAAAACAACCTGACGTGGCGGCGGCGAACATCGGCAAAGGGCATGTGCGCCTCGTTGGCGACTTGAAACTGACGAGCTCGCTTGCGTGCAAGGGTGGCGATCGGCTCGGCTGGAAGGGGGCTTTTGTCGCCTTCGGCAACACCGAGCGGGAGCTGCTCGACTTAGTGTTAGGGCATGCTGCATGGCCGCGGCCGGGAGGGGGGGGGGAGGGGGGGAGGGAGGCGGAGGATGCAGAGGCGGAGGCGGCGGCGGCGGAAGAGGAGGAGGGGGAGAGTGAGGGGGAGGTGGAGGCGGGGGCACCTGTGACGGCCCGCTACAAGAAGGGCGACTACCGGTTCGCGCGGGAGAAGAATTGCGACCTGCGCTTGCTCGACTTCGAGACGTTCGGCGGCTTCGGGGACGGCGTCCGCAGAATTCTTCGGCAGGCGGCGGACCAGCTGAGTAACAAACTTTCGCACGCTCAGCACCTCGATGAGGTCACATGGACCACCAAGAACTGGCACGGGCTGCAGATGCAGCGCTTGTCTGTCGTTCTCCACACCGCCGTGGCGTGGCAGACGGTGAACGAGCTAGCGTGCGGGGACAGCGGCATTGTGCACGGAGCTAAGTGCATTGCCGTTCTTAACGGAGTCGCTTAGGCGGCTCCGGTGGTGTGCCGGTGATAGTACTAGCACGCGCCAGTTCGCACCTGTGTCGAGCCTGTGTGCTGTGAGAGAGAGTTGTTTTGTTTAAATTTCACAAAACCCGATAAAAAAAAGCTGAGGCCCACCAGAAGGCAGCATGTGCGGCGCAACGGCGCACGCCCTGAGCGAGGCGTCGCGGTGCAGTGCTTCATCGATGGCGATCTGAGCGACACGTCGACGGCGATTTCTTTTTTTGTGATCTCTGAAGGTGGCTTGCGAGCCTTCTCGCGACACGCGACAGCGCACAATACGCTTTCTCCCCCTTTCCCAATTGATACTTCTTTACGTCACGACGCAGCTCCAAGTCACCGACCCACTGTTACTTTGTTGGTGACTTGGAGCTGCGTCGTCTCGCGCACTCACAAGAAGCAACACTCAGTGTCACTGTCCTACACTCGCGGGGCGGGGCCACCAAAGCCACCATCATAGAGCAAAGTCGGGCTGCAGCCGCTCCACCTTTCGCACCATCGAAGGCCAGATGCGCTCTCCGTCGTACCCCCCATAAAAGGGGTCGTCCACTGCGCGGGGAGGGGGGGGGGGGGGGGAGGTCGGCTGTGCACCAGGTCCTCGAGCAGCCGGTGCTGCTCTCGGCTAATCTCGCTGAATCTCGGCTGCAATCTCACCGTAGGCGCGACTCCAGCGCGCCACCTCTTCCCCCGTCGGGGAGTGGTACGGCCTGCCGGTCTGCAGGAGGGCGCGCTGCGCGTGGCAGGCGCGGTCGATGGAAAGCGCGAGGTAGAAGCACTCGCCGAGGCTCTCGCCCGCCACAAACATGCCGGGCCACTTTTGAAGCATGATCTTTTTGCCGCCGAACAGCCGGACGGTCTCCGGACCGTCCTGGCGGAAGCCGACGGAAGGGCGGGAAGGTGAACTGGCCTCTCTCGTACGTACGCGCCGAGGATGGGGCAGGTGGGGGGAGGGGTGGGGTGGGGGGAGGGGTGGGGGAGGGGGGGGGAGGGTGCGCCTGGTAAAAGTCGAAGTGGGAGTGGGCCACCATGTTCGCCAGCATGATGCCCGCTTGCGAGACGGGCTGCAGCCCCTCCTAGTGAACCAACCAACCAACCAGTCCCTCCATAGGCTCGTTCATCACCGCGGCGGCGGGCTACAGCCCCCCCTCCTCGAGCGAAGCGACGGTCGCCTGACTCAAGACTCGAGACGGTGAGACCATAGGGGCATGCAGTCCAAACATCCCCTCCTCTGAGCTAGGAGGCGGTCGCCGTGTCGAGCGTGTGAGAGTGGAGGAAGCACGCCACGTCCGACCTGCGCCGCGAAGGAGCAAACGCAGCGTCTCACGTGGCGCCGGGAGAGACCAAGACGACAGAAGGCGCGTCCACGACAGGAGCAGACCACCGGGTCCGCTCTGGTGCGCACTACAGTTGTAGTCCGCGCCCCGCGCCCGTGCAGTGTGCCCCCTGGCGGGGTGTGTGCTTTCCCGTTCTTCCCACTCTCCCGGCGCCGGTTCTGGAAGACGGCCGTGGCGCCTTCGAGCGACGCCTCGTTGAGCCTAAAAAAGAAACGCGCCGCCCGCGTAAAGAAGAAAACGAAGAGCTCGTTCGAGCGGCGCCTCGTCGAGCCTCGGGTTGCGGTGGCCGGGCTGCCCCTGCGCCGCGCCGGCCCGCTCGCCTCGCGCATCCACGAGGTGTGAATGTGAATTCTTGTCAACCTATCTGTGAACGGTGCGGCCTCCGAGTCGGCGTCTAGCGACGCGCGATACGGCTTTTCCTCGCCTTGCCTGGGGCCCCGTGTTTCGTGTCTGACTGTCACTGTGCGATTTCGGGGCCCGGGGTTGTGCGTTTACGTGAACGCGGCGAGGCTGGCAGTGGAGTACGTGTCCTCTCGAGCGCTAGTGGTCGCGGAGAGGGGACATACACACATGATTCCAGCTTCTAGTCATGATTCCAGCCTCTAGTCATGATTCCAGCCTCTAGTCATGATTCCAGCCTCTAGTCATGATTCCAGCCTCTAGTCATGATTCCAGCCTCTAGTCATGATTCCAGCCATCTAGTCTCCACTCGCCCTCGAGGAGCGGGATGCGGAGGAGCGAGGAGGCGGTCACCTGTGGACAGCTTACTGCAGCCGTGTCCCCGTGTGTGCTAGTCGGTGGCTGCGACAATGGCCATGCGGTGAACGGGAGGTGGCAAAGGTGGTGATGCACCGTCGTCGTCGTGGCTTATCTTGGAGCGCGCTCCCAGGGTTGGTGCACAGCTGCTGCTACTACTGCGAGGCTGCAGCCGCCTCCTCCCACAGCAGCGTGTAGTCGTTGAGCAGAAAGCTGTCCGAGCCAGGCACGCGGGCCTGCGTCGTGAACGCGCCGTCGTGAGTGCGTGACTGCGGCGTCGTGCCGCGTGCGTGCGTAGAGGAGTGCCTGAGTACGAGACTACGAACACGGCCGAGCACTTTCCCTCTCGAGTGCTAGTCGGAATACACGGATTTGTATCTTTAGATCTGGGCACGGCGGGCCGCGATGAAGTTGATGCTCTCGCCGTCAAAGGGCGCGAGTCCATACATGTGGAAGAGCCGGTACGCTGCGGCGAGCTCTCTCCGCGCCGCCGCCTCTGCGTGCGACGCCTCGAGGGCGCGCAGGGTGGTGTCGTTGGCCAGCGCAGCGAGCGAGGTGACGGTCGTGCCGCTCTCGGTGGCAAGCGAGCTGAGTGAGACTTGCAGGCGAGCAGAGGCGAGCCGGAGAGCCCCGTCGACGCCGGCCGACGGAGCGATGTCGAGGAGAGTCGAGCAGGGCCCGTTTGGGTTGTCGAGCTTTGGCTCCTCACGGTGGACGTAGAGGCGGAGTGTCTCGGCGGACGAGGCGAGGAGTGACAGGAAGATGAGCGACATGGGTGATGTCGGCTTACAGCGGATACGGGAATTTCTTTTTTTAAATTCTTTGTTTTCGCGACACATGTCACTTCCTGTTGTCTGTTGTTTGTTGTGCTCTTGTTTGTTTCTCTTGGCACCTTGGAGTGCTGGGGGGGGCGACAGGGAGGATATGGCCTTGAGTTATGTGTACGCCAACTCAGGGTGTGTGGCAGCCAGCTGGCTGTGTGTCTTGTGAGCCTTTTGTGTCTGTGTGTCGCTCGTGCGTGTCGTCATCATCTGTCTAGCGTCCACCCATAACGCGTTGGTGTCCAGTCCGAGCCTGGCTGTTCTTCACCTTTCTACCTACCTACCTACCTCGCGACTCTTTTCGCAACAACAAAACAATCATGTGTGAGGACGGGCTCCGTACTTTGCACTCCCTCTCCAGCTCAATTGTTGTCTAGTACCTCTTGTCTCGCGCTTGTCGATGGAAACCTGCTGACATGATCACATGGCTGCTGACGGCTCATGTGTGTCGCTCCAGGTGCTGCCACGCAACCTGCCTGGAGAAGCGGCATCCTAGGGACGCTGCACCCTGCGCCGGCAGCACAGGACGGCTACTCAGGCCAGCCCAGACCAGCAGCGCCGTTTTTTTTCTAAGTGGTAGGCGTGGGTTAAGGCGTTGGTTCCTTAGAGAAGCGGTGGAGAAACGGACATTTCAAACTCGAGTCGTGTGAGTGAGTGAGTATTCTTGATACGAAACCACGACGACACACACCAGTCGACTCGCATCGGGTTGCCTCCATCTGAAGCCGCACCCGTCGCTAACCCTCGCCCTAGCCCTCGCCGTGCCCCCCGAGTTCGAGCGATATGGACGATATGGTCCGATTACGTGCCGAGCGAGCAGGCGAGGGAGATCGGAGACGATCGGGGAGCACGATGCGTAATTGCCCTCGATGTTGACCCTCCCCCACCACAATTCTCCCCGGACGACGCCGCTCTCGCACCTGCTATGGTCTCTCTCTCGATACACAACACGCTCGCCGACTATCTTGGCAACAAGGGTTGACTCCCTCGCGCTAGGCGACGAACCTGCCCCCGCCCCTCGGGGCGGGGGTCCCCGCCCCCCCGGGGGGCCCTTTGGGCCCCCTCCAGGGGGCGACCCCTCCGGGGAGGCCGGCTTTCCCCGTGCCGGTTCTCCCCAACCAACCCCGCCGGCAGCGCGAGCTGCCGGCCACATTGAGCGGTTCAACCGCGTCGCGCACTCGTCCCAACCGGGGGCCGCAGACTCGTTCTGCGCGCCAACGGCTGGTGACGCTGTGTTGCCCTTGAGCTAGTCCTTCCCCGGTCGCCTAGCCTCTGCGCTGTCTGGCGAACGCCTGTATGCCATGCGCGCGGACCACGCTTGCGTGGATACGTGGCTGGCAGGCTGACCCGTGTGCGGGGTAACCCGCGCACGGGGAAGCTTCACGGGTTCGAGTCACCAAACATTAAGCAGCGGAGGTGTGCCGAGGGGGACCGGGAGGCGGTAAGCCGTCGTCGCCCGGCGCTGCATGCAGCACCGTGGCGATGGCGCTAAGAGGTTCCTCTTTTCCGCGCCCCCCCTGCAAGGCGCGCGATACACACTCCATCCATGAACGGCGGAGCTATTCTCGCATCCACACCACACCTGGCTCCAACGTGGACACGCCCATAGCTGGGGACACTACTAGGTCACGCATGGCATCACAGAAGTTTTATCTCTGGGCCCCGAAAGGCATCTCTAGCAGGAGCGTCGTTACACATGCCCCCTCCCCTCCTGGGCGCATGCGCCTCACGTCTCGCCAGAGCATAAGCCCTTGGTGTGCGACGAGACGAGTTTTTCGCCATGCAGCGAGCAGCAAGCAGCCCGCCGCAAACAGCCGGGGGCATCGCCACGGCACTGGCTGCGCCGCGGTCCCCGCCGCAGACCCGCACCCGTCGACGAAGCTCCCCCCGCGGAAGACCGCGCGTAGCGACGCCTTGACGATCCAGATGAGCGCGCCTGAGGCTCGCCCACCTACTGCCCCTGAGAGTTGGTTACGAGTGGGATCAACACTCACACACACTCGATGTCGAACCACCAGCCCCACCGCACTCGAGTAGTAAATTCATCATTTTTCTGAGCTGGCGGCGTGTGGCTAGGGTTGCCGGGGGGGATGATCTCAACCCCCGCTTGCCGTAGCGTGCATGGTGCTTTAGGTTTCTTATCGTCACACGATTTTCCTGTGAAGAGAAGCGGTGGAGAAACGGACATTTCAAAGTCGAACCACCAGCCCGACCGACTTGGAGCACTTGGGCAGGTTTACTAAAGTGATCACTTGTGGTGAGCGTCGGGCAGTATGTTCATTTTTTTCTGAGCTCGCGGCGCCTCGACCGGGCGATCCTATTCAGACATTGCTGCTCGTCGCAGAGGGCAAATGGCCGCTCTCCGGCCCAACGAGTTGCACATGGCGACCGCCGGCAACGCCACCTGCCCCACCGGCCGCTGGCTCGCCGACACCGCGGGCAACTCTGCGGCGCGGCGCGTCGTGCTCGTGGACGGCTGGCGCCGCACCGGCGTCGGCCATTCCATCGTCGGCGTGGCGGGCGCGATGCAGCTGCTCCTGCTCCACCACAACGAGTCGCGGCGCTCTGTCCGCACCGCGTTCTGCATCCCGCGGAAGCTCACGCGCCACTACGTTTTCCGCGCGCCCATGCCGCTCTGCCGGGGCAGCCACTTTGACCTCTCGCATTACATCGCGCTCGACGGCGTGTCTAACTTTGTCGCGAGCGGCGAGGATCTCGCCCCCGGGCCGGGCGTGCTCCTTCTCCGCAGCCCGCGCAGCTGCGACGAGATTGCGCGCGCGCTGAGTGGCCCTAGATGCTCTCAATGTACATGTTCGGCCCCGCGCGTGCCTTGCCGACCACAGCACTCGGTCGAGACGACACCCACGTACGCACTCGTTTCAGCTGTGTTCAGCTGTCCTCAGCGGTCCTCAGCGGTACTCAGCTGCAGCCCCCCTGCACTCGTCTCCCGTGTACTCTCCCGCGATGCGCCGAGTACTTCTAGGTACTCTCCGCCGTGCTCCCGCCACTACCTACTATTTGCACCACCGCAATACCTGTCGTTCTAGCGCGACAATACCTGCTCTTAGCGCACTGTCCTCCTCCCCCGGACTCTGACGTCTTCCGCCCCCTCCCCTCACCACACCTGACTCTGGCGTCTGCATCCCGCAGGCTGAGGGGCGAGGCGACGCGTGTCATCTTCCACTACCTTGAGAAGCGGGTGGTCACTATCAAACTATTAGCTTGTTATTAGCTTGCTATTAGCTGACTCGCGTGTCATCTTCCACTACCTTGAGAAGCGGGTGGTCGACACTCTACAGCTCTACACAGCTCGCACACTCAAACTGTTTACTAGTAATGTGCATTAGAAGTTTAATAGCTTGAGAGCGTCCACAGCTCTACATCGCTCTACACACTCTACATCCGCTACACCCTCTACACCCTCTCCCAGGTGATCGACCGCTGCCTCGCCGACGCCGGCCACCTGCAGGCGTGTAGTGCGCAGCCTTAATATGGTCTCCAAGATCTGGCAGCCTTAATATGGTCTCCCAGATCTGGCCCCCAACCCACGCCCGAGCATCCTTATCGCTGCCTCGCCCTGCAGGTCGAGGATGGATTGAGTGCAGTCCGCTGCAGAGTGTCCCAGAGACCTTTCTGCCCCCCCCCCCCCCTCCCCCCCCCGAGCGTCCTTACCTCCCCCGCAGGCGATGCTCAGCGGGGGCTACGCGCGCTTCTACCCCCCGTGCGTGCGCCGCATGAGGCTGGTCCGTCCGCGCGCGCTCCCGCCCTGCGACGTCGGCGCGCACTCGAGACGCGCACACTCGAGAGGACACTCGAGAGGACGCGTCTTCTCCGTGCAGTGTAGAGTCGGCTGTGTACTCGCTCTCTAGTAGTAGACGTGGCCCTCGGCTCGCATTTTCTCACGAGGTAGCTCCGAGCACACGGCGCACGAGAGGGCGCACTCACTCCCCCACACCCCCCCTCTAAGGCGCGCACCTTCGCACTGGCCACGTCGACGACCGGGTGGGCTGCAGACACTCCCTCCTCCGCCCCGGCGACAAGGCGTGCCCCCTGAGCGACCGCCCTCCTCTCGCCTGGCCGCACGCCTGCGAGGGGAGGGCGGCGTTCCCTGCCCAGCTGCGCGGCTGCCCGGCCGGCCTCCGCCTCTACGCGACGTCCGACGACCCAGCAATGTGCTCCGCTCCCTTAGAGGCGGAGCAGCGTGGTCCTCGTTGCATTCCGGCACGTTGCACTCGAGGGGGCACAGGGGCTCGGCCGCGTGTTGTAGAGGAGGCGGTATTCACAGCGGGGTTCGCTGTGTGTGCTCGCAGCGGTGCTCCGAGCACACTCGGCACGATGCCCATATCGCCACCCTGAGGCCCTGTGTGCGGTACGATTCCCACACCGCAGGTACCCCTTCTCGCGCCCGCTCGGGTGGCGCGACGCCAACGAGACTGCCACCATCTCCTGGACGCCGCGGGCGAGGTCGGAGGTGGCCACAGTCCTTGCGGGCGGTCCGGTCCTCGACACGATCCTCGCGTGGGCTAGCCTCGCCCGCTGCACCAAGGCGCGGCCGGGCGTCCCCCCGTCTCCCCGCCCCCCCCTCCCTGTCTGGATGTGGGCCACGCGTCGCTAATCGCTCGGGCGTGAATGGAGACCCGACCGCCGGAACTCAGGGCGCTCTGCCTGCCTGCCGCGGCCATCCTGCCCCCCCCCCCCCCCGGGCGCCCCCCTCCCCCCCTTCCCCCACCACGTTGTGTGTGTGGAGGTGAGTACCTCACCTCACCTCACCTAGGCCATCCTCTCGCCGGTGCCGTCGGCCTTCTCTCAGTCTGCCTCGCTCGCCGCCGGAGTTCCGCTCGTGGGCTGCTGCGCGGGGCTCGACGCCAGCGGGCGCGTGGTCTCGACGAAGGAAGCGCCCCCGGCGGCGGAGGTTGTCGCCGCGAGGGGCGAGGTTTCGGCGGTGTCCGCCACCAGACTCCCTAGCTCAACCGACGGCCCTCGTGGCTTGGGATCTGCGGCCCCCGGTCATTTGGCCGCTCGTCATGCGGCGGCGTCAGCGCAGCGGCGGCGGCGGCAGTGCGAGGGTGTGGGCGCGTTGCGGAACGGCGAGCGGTGTGCGAAGAGGAAGCCAGCGGCGGGCGGGAGCCCCCTCGGCGGCGTCAGCCCGCAGGCCGGCGGCTCTCGGGGGCCTAGAAACAATGCAAATCTAGGAGATCTCTGTATTCCGACTAGGACACGAGTCGCTCCGCTGGGTATCGGCTGCATGTTCGCTGTCTTCCGACTTAGCACTCGAGAGGACACGTACTCGCCGCACAGTGTAGGCTCTACTCGCTGTAGACGTAGCCCTCTCGCACTCACGAGGTTGCTCCGAATACACTGCGCACGATAGTCGATACCACACTCACACACACCCTAGGGCGCGCACCTTCGCACGTCGACTCCATATTTCACCACGCTCCACGGCACGATACCCCGCACTCACACCCCCATAGGCGCGGGACTTGGCTCGAGCGCCGGTTCGCCGTCGCCTCGCCTCGTTGCTCACCACCAGGCCCAAGCGGCTGCCACACACCTTCTTTCCTCACAGTGGTGGGGTGGGCCCAAGCCGTCGCCCCGCGCACACACACCACAACACGATTGGTAGAAGGAGCCGCTGTAGCTTTTCAACACCCTCGACCCTGCTCACCCCCCCAGGCAAGCCGGTTCGGCGGCGGACCCCGAGCCCACGAATCCCGCCACACTGGCCGGCGGCGGGCCGGAGGCGGTCGCTGGGCCGGACACCCCCGTCGGCCCGAACGCGAGCTACTCGCCGGAGGGGCAGCACATCCTGAACGACATGACCTGGCTCGACGAGGCACGCGCGCACACACGCACACACACGCACACACGCACACACGCACACACGCACACGCACACGCACACGCACACGCACACGCACGCACACACACGCACACACGCACACACGCACACACACACACACACACACACACACACACACACGCACGCACGCACACACGCACGCACGCACACACACACACACACACGCGCGCACACCGCTCGCCCACGCGCGCGCACTGGGCCTTGCACTTTTAATGCCGTGGGGGGCTCCAATCGTCTAGACGTGGAGTCGCCCCCCCCCCCCCCCCCCCCCTCCGGGCGTCCTTCTCCGAAACTCGCTCTCGCGTCGCACAGGCTTCCGCCCGGACGGCCAGGGCTCCTTGGACCTGAACCTGTTCCAAGACCCGACCGACGGGCAGGCGTACCTCATCCGCGACTGCAGCCACAAGCTCCTCGCCATCTCTCGGCTGACGCCGGACTACCTCGGCACCGCGGGCATCATCGCCACTCTCCCGCAGTGCCTCGAGAGGACCGTCAAACATGGCCGGCCCGCGCTGAAGAACCGCTGCGAAGGGATGGCCATGTTTCGGCACAGCGGCTACTTTTACCTCTTCACGTCGCTGGCGACCGGCTGGTGCGCTGTCCCGCGCGGGCATGACACGCCATGCCCCGTCGTTGACACGCCCATGCCGTCCGTATTGACCCCTCGACACGGCTGATGACACGTCGGATCATTCCCCGACTCGTGACCTCTGCCGGCTCCTGCCCTGTCCGGGCGTGGAGATGCGAGGGTCGCCCCCCCTTGCCCCACCACTTTGTGTGTGTGGAGACGCTTACCTTACCTTACCTTACCTCTGCCGCACGAAGGTGGCCGAACGCCGTCACCCTGTGGAGGACCGCGGGCAAGTCACTTGACAACGCCACCTGGCTCAACCTCGGCAACCCCACCGGGTCACGGACCTCGTTCAACTCGCAGCCAACCTACGTGGTCCAAGCGACGACGGCGCGCGGAGAGCCGTACTTCGTGTACCTCGGCGACAACTGGATGCTTTGCCCCTCGAGGGACAGCGCCGGCCCGGCCCTGGAGGGCGCGTGCTACATCTGGCTCCCCTTCCGAATGAGAGCAGGCGAGTCGGAGCTCGAGGTGGACTACCGCTGGAGATGGCGGCCGAGCGATCCCTTTGCGCCGGTGCCGCGGGACCCGAACCCGATCTGCCGGGGTCAAGGGAACGGCGAAGCCTGCGGGGCGGAGCAGAAGAAGCGCAAGCGCCGCCCAAAGCGCAAAGAGCACACGCGCTGGGTGTCGAGCCGACGAGCCGCCTCACAGCAAACTATTAGGACCTTGAATGCTACGCCCGGCGGTACCCTGACCTCCGGAGGTTCTTGGAAAGGCGCGACGGTGGGTTGAAAGCGCTCCGGAAACACTGGACCAACTTCGGCTTGCGGGAGTCTAGGAAGATGGGCTGTGGGGTGTGAGGGGGTAACTTCTGGGGTACGATACTTGACCCCCCCCCCCCCCCCCCCCTGGGCGCCTCGTCTTTTCGTGCCAAACGAGCGCATCTCGGCCCGCCGACCGCCGTTCTCCGCTCGCGGCATACAAGCACGAGTATAGGCCACGATGTCTCAAATATGAGGGGTTTTGACTCCTACCGGCTCCTGACGCTATCTCTGGCAGCTCTAATGACCAGGATCAGTAGTGTTGTGATAGAGGGTGCCCATACTAGCGCAGGAGCTGCCACACTCGCCCGGACCGTCCCCTTCTGGGGCCGGTTCCGCAGCCCGCGAGAGCCGACAGCGGGGCCGTGCCGCGGGTGCCTACTGCCGAGTGCCACAAACACTGCGCCGTCCCGCCATCACCTACAGGCTGTCTTGTGTGATGGTTGGGATGTCCAAACGCCACCATCTTGGCTCTTGCGACCTCAAACCCGCGAGCTGTATGGGTGGTCCTGACGTCGACAGACGCCCGATGACCACGGTGAAGCTGAGCCGGAACGCGTCGACAGGTCTCGTCTGAGCCCGTGGCGGTAGCCGGCTGAGTCGCTGTGCACGGGCCGGTACCTCAGGCGTCACCTCCGTAGCCTCAGGTCTCACACTCCATCACCTCCGCCAGGACGCCGTCGGTGGCACGCTCGGCGGCGAGTTTGTTGCAGCTCCACAGCGAGCGCGGCGTCGATCCTAATCGGTCTGGTCGGTTCGCGGCACTCCCTGGGTGCCAGGGAGTGCCGCCGACACTCGAGCGGTGCTTCCTGGCAGCGCGCGCCGGCTGTGGGGCTGCAACAAACTCGAGACACGCTTTTTTCGGACATTTTCGACGCTTTTGTCCCATATACTCGTGCAACAACCCTGCTGTGAGAGAGAGTTATTTTGTTTAAATTCTATTAGGCGGCTCCGGTGGTGTGCCGGTGATAGTACTAGCACGCGCCAGTTCGCACCTGTGTCGAGCCTGTCTGCTGTGAGAGAGAGAGTTCTTTTGTTTAAATTCTATTCCAAAAGTCATGCCGGTTTCGGATATCGGCGAACGATCTCGGAAGGGGGCCGCCTGCACTCTCTGAGCCCTGTGATGTGGGACCTCACTCCCAGAAGCTTGGAGCTTCAGGCCGCGACCACGCGGCTAGGTGGACACTAAAGTGCCATTTTGGCGCCAAATCTTGGCGCGAAATGACACGTGTCTTGGCGGGAGAGTGGTGTGCTGCGCCGCTCGCTCCAGCGCTGCTGTTGAGCGCCAGCTGCTGCTCCCTTCAACCAGACGGCCGGGCCTGCGCAGCACGAGCGCTGGCCTGCCTCCTGCACCACAGGAGCGCGCCAAGGCGCGCGTCTGGGCAAGCAGTGCGTCTCATCGCGATGCGAGAGTCGACGCTGTGACGCCGCCGCTCGCCGGCTAGAATGAGTGTGTGTGTGTGTGTGTGTGTGTGAGTCGTATCCAGAATACTCACTCACTAACGGCTAGAATGACAGTGGCAGCATTCGAGTACGCGTCGAGCTGTGCGTACCAGCACTTGTATGCGAGCTTATTGTGTCCCTGAGCTACTGTGGGGTGCGGAGCACGTACTGAACTGAAGCGATTTTATGAGAAGAGAACAAAGGGGGGGGCGCAAAATTCTTTTCCAGTTATAGTTCTTTTCCTGTACCCCCATTCCGCCGACGGACTTACCAAGGGACACAGGGTACAGCAACGACCCGACCCAAAGGGTCAATTCACAGCCACAACTGTGAACGGTGACTCGAAGATGCTGCGTGAACGCTCTACGCGGAGAGCGAGTCGTAAGGCAAGCTGGCACTCTCCTCGTCCGCTCGCGCTTGCCGCGCCGCATTGCGCCCGACTATGCCGCCGCGAGCTGCACGCCTAGACCCCCGCGACGCCTATTGCTCACGGAATCCGCCGCCTCCTCACCGCCCCCACCACGCGATGCGCCCTCGCTCGCCGCGCGAGCGGCTGACCCCCCTCGGCCTTGCACCGCCTGCCTACTCCCGCTCGCAGGTACAGCCGCTGCCATCGAGGAGGTCGCGAGACGCGTCCGCTGCTGCCCATTCCCCACCCTTGTCCCGCGCGACCGCACCTCCCTCTCTTCTGGCAAGAGAGCGACCCGCTCCCGCTTGCTCCAGTCCGCGCGCCGAGGACGCGAGAGAGCGTGCCGGCGGCCTCGTCTCGACGCTCACGCCGCGACGTGTTGCCCGTAGGCGCGGCTCTCCTTTCTCCGGCTCGCTCTCTCTTCCCATTCAGCATGCCCTTGAGCGGCACCATTTTTGTGCACAGCCTCATACACACCCCATGTCCATGTCCATGTACCAATACACCCCCAATCATCTCCACAGTGTTTTTTGACCCTCATTCACATCGTGATCCCATAGACTCGTTCCTCACTGTCCCGTCTTACTTTCCTCCATAGGAACTCATTCGACCGCCTATGCTCGACAAGCTCAAACTCGAGCTCGTGCCGGCCGACGGTAATCGGCTCGCTATCAAGATATCTCCACCTCCGCCGCCGCCGCGTGCCGACAAGCAGGCGCGTGTTTGCGCGCAGTGAAACTGCGCTCCCGCGAGACCTTCAAGACTTATCCTCTCGCCCTCTGGCTGTCACAGGCGTCGCTGGCGGGCAACACGGCCGCTGTCGGAGCCAAGGCCGCCAGCATCCAGTCCAAGGGCGAGCCCGCTTCGCTCGAGGACGGCATCCAGCCCAAGGGCGAGCCCGTTTCGCTCCAGTCCGAGAGCAAGCAGCCCGCTTCGCTTGAGGACGTCGGCGTCGTGTTTGCGTCGTCGGCACGCGCTTCGCTCGACTCCTGCGCCGACTCGCGGCGCCTCACGTACACCATCGCCGATCCGTCGCCGCTCTCGTCCGTCATCGACGCTGCCGAAGGCAAGGCCGACGGCATCTCGTCCGAGAGCGGGCCCGCGTCGCTCAAGGACGTCATCGAGGACGGCGGCGGGACGCCTGTCGCGTCCGAGGGCGAGTCTGCGCCGATGGCTCTCGTGCTCCTCGAAGACGAGGTGCGTGCGCACGCCCGGATCAACATAATCCGTGCGACCTCCAAGCCTCCAAACACCTGCGTAGCTCCCTCGGCCACAGGCGTGCGGCACCAAGGTAGCCCTCGCGAAGGACATCCCCGTGGCAGAGTCTGGCGCGGAGGCCTTCCTCAAGGAGGTCCCCAAGAAGGACCTGACCGCGTTCGACTCTGCCAAGGCCGTGTCTGCCGCCCACAAGCCGAGCGCTTTCGCCGACTGGACGACCCCGTCGAACCCGCGCCGCAACAACGGGCGCGAGGGTGAGGCCAAGGAGTCTCCAGAGGAGAAGCTCGCCACGGCGGTGAGTTTCTCTCAGCGCGTGCACACACCTCACGGGTGTAGCGGGAGTCCCACGGGCGGTTCTCCTATCGGCCCTTTGCCTCTCGCACATGCGCAGGGCATCGACGAGTGGAAGACCGGCAAGGGCGAGCCCAACCTGGTCGACTGCTCCAAGAGCACCACCCCAATCGACCCACCGACGGCCCCCAGCGGCGTCACCAAAGAAGATCCGGCTCTCGAGCCGGCGGCGGCCGGCGACGCGCCGCTGCCGTCGATGAAGGAGTTCCCGGCGGCGCGCACCTCGCATTCTGCGCCGTGCGTCTGCCGACCCACCCCTTGACCCCACCCCTCTTTCATTGCGTAGAGCGACGCCGACCGGACCGTCTCGGCCAAGGAGTCTCCGGGGGTGAAGCCCGCCACGGCGCCGATCGCACGCTTCGGTGCACGCTCAGAGCCTCAACTATTGACGCACCCACCGCTTGCGCGTGCGCAGGGCATCTCCGGCTGGACCAACCCGTCGAAACTGCGCCGCAAGAAGGCGCGCAAGGGCTCGTCCGCCCGGGTCGGCCGCGTCGAGAACGTCTCCTGGGTCGGCGGCAAGAACCGGTTCGGGGCCCTGCTCGGAACGAACGGCAACGAGGACGTCGGTGGCGGCGGCAAGGTGGCCCACAAGGCGCGGCCGCCCCGCGGCTCCACGCCGCCGACCACGGACTCGGTGCGCGCCGCCTGCACGCATATGCGGCCTCCGCCCCCGTTTGCCGCGCACACGGCCAGTCTCGCGCCCTCCTGTTCAGGGCATGGTCGAGACGACCACAGTTCCCACGCTGGACAGCTCCGTCTCTGTCTCCGGCCGGTTCTCGTGGCCCAAGCTCTGCCCGTCCTACAACTTGCTCCGCCTCTTTGCCAGCCTGGCGCTGATCTGCCTCGGAGCCGCGTTTGCGCACTCTTCGTACTCTGCCACTTCCGCGCTTCTCTCCTCGCAGCGGCACGACTCCCCGTGGCCGACATCGCCTCCCGCAACCGTCGCAAAGCCGTTCACGCCGGCATCGCCCAACGGCTTCTGCGAGGTTGGCGGCAACGACACCAGCTCGTTTGCAGCCATCGTGTCATCGGACAGCGCGCCCGCCAACCACCCGGTGCGCGCTCGCTCGAGCGTGCTAGTATTCGCCAGCTCGTGACTAACAGTCCGCGCGCTGTTCAGGGCGGGCACGAGGACGGGAGCTCGTGGGAAGCACTGATGGAAGCGATCAAAGAGGCGGTGGGCGAGCCGTTGCACCTGATTGGCGAGCCGCCGGCGTCCGTCAAGGACCTTTACGAGAAGCAGCCGGTGAGCGCCCCTCTGGCTGTTTCTATGTGCGAGCTTTGTAATCCGGTTCCGGATTGTGCCTGTTGTTGGCGTGTAGGTTGAGGCCGATTTGGAGACCGCCCCGGCCTCGCGCAACAGCATGGAGCGCAAGGGCGAGCCCGAGATCGACTCTATCGGTCCCGTCTACAGCAGCAGATCGGGGATCATCGTTCGCGAAACCGTCCTGCCCGTGAACGGCACGTTGCCCGAGATGCGGTCCGCCGACGCTGGGAACACGCCCGAGAAGCTGGTTGAGACTGGCCTCGGCGCGCCCGTCTCTAGCATGCACGCCGGCGGCGAGTGGCGGGTGAACAGATTGGCGACCGCTTCTCCAGCCACAACCAAGGATCTCTTCCTCCAGCTTGGCCGGGCCATCGACCCTCTTCTCGCGGAGCC